CCCCCGCAGGGTCCCCGCTGTACCTACACGAGCTCCTAGAAGGCAGCGAGATCGATCTGCCCGAGGTGCCGGTACCGCCGCGGGTAGGGGAGGGCCGGGCACGGGCGGCGGGAGACGGCGGCTGCCCCCGGCCCTCACAATGGCTCTGCTCTTCCCCCAGAACCCCGAGCTGGTGGCCCGGCTGGAGCGGATAAAGGCCAAGCTGGCCAACGAGGAGTACCGGCGGATGACCCGCAACATCACCGGCCAGGTGAGGGGCCCGCTGCGTTGCCTGCTGTCAGGATTCGTTCCTCAAAAGCGTGGCCGTTAGCAACCTGACAGACAGCAAAGGAAATGTGCCCCATAGAGCGAGCGCAGTTACAGAGGGAATGTGGGCAGGGACTTGAGGAGTGCACGCTGTAAGTGCACGGGGACAACAGATACGGTGTTGAGGGCAGAGGTGGGACAGGGTAACCAGGATGGTGAAATAGAAGAGAGACTGACGTTTGGGAACAGCTCACTGTGCCAGAGATCTCAGGTTTTGATCTGGGAGGCTGAGCGCCTACGGTAAATGTTTTACTGGGAGCATCTGCGCTGCCTTTTTCTGAACGGTTACAGTTTCCTCACAGTTTTAAAATGAGATCGTTCATGTCAAGGTAAAAGCTGAAAAAACAGGGTAATATTTGGGCACTCATTCTTTCCAAGGAAAAGGTGAGATCTTTTGGCACGGTGACCGTTTGGACAAGCCAGCATCCCTTCCTGCTGACGTTCCTCGTGATCCCATCCTGCCTGTCCCTCCTCCACACTGGCGTCCCTGTGCATTTAAGTCCCTGCACGTATCCTCCTGTTGCCTTAACTCTCGTGGGAGGATCTGCTTTGCCCTCTGTCAAACCTAGCCGCTCCGTCTATGAACCGGAGTGGTTTTAGCAGAGCTGGGTAGTAGTGACAGCGATGTTCCTTTCAAACAACGGAGAAGCAGAGGAGTATTCCCATATCTGCGCGCTCATCACGTTCTTCCCTGCCTCCCCCTCAGTAGCTGGTGTTTGAAATTGTGTAACCATGTCCGATTTGACAAAGGGCGTGCAGAGCTTTACACCATTTAGTTTTTGCCAGCTGCCTGAGCACGGGTGACAAGGTGAGACCCTTTGGCATCTCTATTAAAGACAAACCTGCGGCAGAGAACCCACCTGCAAGAAAACGCTCGCACTCCGAGAAGTGCTTTGATTAGAAATGATCCCTTCTCAACGTCCTTGAACTGGACCACAAACGTAAACCCCGAGAAACCCAGGTCCTGTGGAACTGCTGCTCCCCTGCAGCCTGCCCGACCGCTGCCAGGGCCCCCCTCTGAACTTCCGAGTCTTGGGGAGAGGACGGGGCATTGGCGTTGCTTTTATTATGCAGTTAACATTAAAATACAACCCATCACGAGTTGTTTTAATCCCTTCTTTTAGGAGATGAACGGGACGTTGGCCGAATTTGGGAGGCAAGGTGAGTGGCTGCCTGTCCTGCTGACGCCTGGCAGCGCGTACCTACAGGTCAGTCACGAGAACCGGTGCGTCGCTAGCTGTTGACATCAGACAGCCCTTCCCTCTCCGAGTATCTCGCCGGAAGGTTTTAATGCACAAAAGCGTTCCTCGAGTAAAAGAGCAGCCTGTTGGTTGTTCTTAGAAAGATTTCTGGAGGCACAAAGGACGTGAATCCTCGAGTATTGCTGTAGCCCAGCTGAGGCAGCCACAGGCAGGCTCTGTTAGCAGGATTACAGCTTGTCCCCAGCCCCGCTCTCCAAGCCTTACCTAAAAGCGCAATCGTCTTTCCTCCTCCTCTCCAGTTCGCTCTGTTAAAGCCGTTGTCATCACCATATTCAACTTCATCGTCACCGTGGTGGCCGCCTTCGCCTGCACATACCTGGGCAGCCAGTACGTCTTCGCGGAGACCGCGGCGGTGAGTGAGCCCGTGGCCTCGGAGCCCGCTTGCGGCACGCTCTGTGCCAGCCAGGCAAGAGCGGCAGACGCGCTCCCCGGCGCGGGCAGCAGCTCGAGGCACACGCAGGGTCACTTCTCTCTCTTTTTGCGTCCCCAGCGCGTCCTGTCAGCAGTAATTGTGGCCTCGGTGGTTGGCCTGGCTGAGCTGTATGTAATGGTGCGGACCCTTGAAGGGGACCTTGGGAAACTATAATCGCACGCGTCCCCGTGAACTGCGGCCCTCATCCTGGAGGCTTTTGCCCTCCCCAGGAGTCATTAATTTGGGGCAGATTCATGTTCTACCACCTGTTTGCACCTGCTCCTGCAACTGGGAAGACTGCTGCGTTCCTCAGGCCTCGTCCTTTGCTTCCCGCTCCTTAACGTTCCTGAAACGAATCATGGATTAAAAATCCCGCAGCTGCAGAACAGAAGAGGGAACAGCTGTGGACTCTCACCACCCTAGCACAGAGAGGGGCGTTAGCTCCCACCGTTCCCGTTCTCCTGTGAAGTTGCTGTCCTTTTATTCCGGAAATAAATAACGTTGTGTGTTTGCAACCTTCTTCGTGCCTGACGGGAGACGTCTGTTGCTAAGCGGGACACCAAAGTGACATCTAAAAGGCACCGCAGAGAGCCGTCAGTCTTCCCTCTCCCTCTGCACCCCGCATCCTGCTCCTGCCGAAACCTCCCTCTGCCTGCCCTCGCTGCTCCCTCGCCTGCTTTCGGGAGAGCGTTTTTCCCTTGTGACCCGCGTGGCAGCACCCGACCCAGCTCGTGTTTGGGGGCGACCACTTTCCCCCTCCACGCAGATCAGTTCGGGAGGATGACGGCGTCCGGCGCAGCCACGTCGGGGTTGGCACCCGGCTGGCCTTTGTCAGCAGCAGCTCAGCGTCCTCACGCAGGGGCTGCCGCATCTCCTGACCCGCGGCCCCGTGGCTGTTGCCGGTGCCTGGGGGAGGGGCAGGAGCCACAGCTGCCTGCCCGCGGTGCGGCAGGGCCTCCGCAGGCAGACGGGGCAGCGAGGGGTGCGAGGCTCTCCACCTCCGCTGCCAAAGGGTGCCCAGCTTCCGTGGGTAGGGAGAGGACGCACCTCAACACAGAGCCCCGGGGGGCTTCTCGGGTGCCACGGAGCAGAGAGCGGAGCCAGCTCGGTGCACCCACGGCCCCACGGTGGGGAGGGGGCACCGAGGCTGGCACCGCCGGGCCCTGTGGACCCGGACACCTGCCGGGTGGGCAGCCTGCCAGGGCCAGACACGGTGATTAATGCTCTGATGGCAGCTAAGCCCCTCTGCAAACACGCTTTAATATCCGATACGGGGAGATCTGCCGGAACGTGCCTGCGGATTAGGGGCGGCCGCGCCGCAATCATGCAATCATACGGCCTCAGATTAAGGTATTTTTTCCAAAAGATTAGTCGGTATTAGGGGGTT